TGCGCTCGCGAAGGCCCTGACTCCAGCGTGAAGTGATGTGATGATGTTGTGATGGTGTGATGATGTGAACCGAATCTTAATCTTTTGGGTCTTAGGGTCCGGTTACTTATGGTAAACTTTAATGTGGCAGTTTATGGTGTGAACTTAATCTATGGTGATGCTAGTAACGTATTATTCTATCTGTATTTGTTTGTCCTTATATTTGCCTGTGGTGTATGGTTAGTTCTGTTTAGATGTTGTGAACTAGAGTTTAGGTGCTGCAATGATCAATTCAGTGTTGCTTCACTGATCAGACATGTTGTTTCAGTGTTGCTTCACTGACCACGTCAGTGTTGCTTCACTGACCACACATGTTGTTTCAGTGTTGCTTCACTGATCACACATGTTATTCGTCTCATGATTATTAGTCAAATCAAATGCATGCTTTTTCCCACCAGCAAATTATCTATGTATGTTTGTGTAAATTCAAGAAAATGCAAAAAAAAAAACCTTAGCAAACTATCTATGTTTGTGTAGGAGATCATGTGTGCAAAATTTAAGATGATTTAGAGGAGGTCATAAAAATTGAATTTGAGAAATACGCTCCAAATGAGCTCCCACGCTAGGGTAAATAGCCCATTTGTAATCAAGTTTTTTTTTGGACCTACTCTAAATGAGCCAAATATTTTGTGTTAACACCTATTCAATCCATATAGCGTAGATTCAAAGTCTCACTATTTTTTGAATTAATCTTCATATTTTTACATTTTCTTTTGGAAAATATGCTTTAATATAAAAACTATTAAAACACATTTAAAATATGAAAATGTAAAACTAAGTTCAGATCCTTCTTATTCACTTTGAAATAAAGCTTTGGTGATTTTTTTGCTTTTCTTAAATATTTCAAAAACAAAAGGTAACCCTACCTCATCTCCTTGAACTCTATGAGATCTTGTAGGTGATAGCTCATATGTGTGAAGGTTTTCCCATGAAAATGACCATAGACCAAGTTTATGATTTTTGGTTGGTAACATGTCACATAAGACAACATTGTGCGCAGATTTCATTTTTTTTTGATTTTTTTAAATTAATGGTGCTCATTTGACCTCGATCGTGCCAGCTAAGGATTTTCATGAAAATGACCATAGACCAAGTTTAGTATTTTTTCCTCGTTAGTGTGTCTTATAAAACATTGAACGACAAAGGTTTCATATTTTTTCGATTTTTTTTAAATTAGTTATGCTTAGTCAAAGATTTCGTAACTCCGTTGACCAGCTCAAAACCCCTCTAAACCCCGCGGGGTTTCGCCTAACCCTAGCTCCCAACGTCAGTCGTTCGATCATACCCTGGCGCCAAGCCACAACCCTTAGATGTGGTCTTCTAGAAGGAATTTGGTGGGGCGTGCAGGCTCCGGGCCGTTGGATCACAAGGACGGCTCCACATCGTTGGATATTGGGGCGATCCGCGAGAGGCGATCATGTTGGTTGTGCTCGGCTTCTCGCCCACCACTGACTCCGCGAAATAAAACGGTGGTGTTAGGCCCAAAAGGAAACCAAGCTCTAGTTGGGCCATCGAATCGCGTCGTTTTTTTGTGAACGTGCTGGCTTTGTTTTTTGTGAACGTGTTGGCTTTGGGTTTTTTTTGCATCATTTGAAATTACACAACAATTGACATTGCATAGAAAATTTAGTTCTTTTTGTTCTATACAAATGTAAAATGACCAAATTTGTAAGGGCTAAATTTATTTTTATCATGCAAAATGGCCACAAACTATTAAAAAAATGGGTCATTTTGCATTTGTATAATGGCCAGAAGCCCTCTCTCTCTTTTTATCATGCAAAATGACCAAATATTTATGGGCCAAATTTATTTTTATCATGCAAAATGGCCACAAGCTCTTCAAAAATTGTCTCTTTTTTTCCATATAATATAGGGTTTGATCACGGATTCCCACGCGTGCAATTAGCTTCTTTTTCTTCTTCTTTTAAAACCACCGTTTCCCACGCGTGTACACTCTCAATGCTGCCGTGGGTTTGAAAACGGGCTACTAACTTCACATTTGACCCTGTTGTTGCCACGGCCAAATAACATGTAGCACTACGTCTATTTAAGCCACCCTCTGCCTCTGCCATCCCTCATCCATCTGCCCTTCTTGCTCTTTGACCCCTTCTCCGTCTTCTGCACATCCCTCAGCCATGCAGTACACCAGACCAACCTACCGCTTCCCACCCACTGTGCTGGAGAGGCTCTACCCTACCGGCGTGTACGTTGATTGCACACTACGTGTGTCGGCGATATCAAGGCTGAGGACCGCAAGGAACTTCACCAAGTTCTTCCTCGCGTCCGGCTACCACCACCTCCTGAGGGGATCTCCAACGATGTTCCGCGTCGAGGAGGTTATCCAAAACCGGGTGGTGCTTGCTCTCCTTGCCCACTTCACCAACACCTTCGACGCCTTCTACCTCCTCGGGCGGGTGTTTTGGTGTGGTTACGAGTTCATCGCTTTTACCACCCACAACAGGTTCACGGAGTACAACAACATCTTCCCCACAGCAACGCGCATGCACACTCTTCCGTACCCCATCGACAACGCCCCGGAGGAGAAGTGAAAAGAGCACCCGGAGGAGGAGCGAGGTGGAGAAGGCGGCGGCTAGGGTTCTAAACCCTCTATCTTTTTTTAGTCTATGTTATGTTAAGTTGTAATGGAGTTGCTATGGGCTTGTTGGCCCTTTTCTTAAATTCTATTATTAAGTTTTCTATCTATTCTATTATTAAATTCTTCCTAGTTTGAGCTATGTGATCGTGCTATGGGCTCGTTAGCCCTATCTACATATTGGGACTACATATTTGTTGATTATTTTCTTAGAGAGCTCGGCTTGTTAGTAGGGTTCCCTTGTTAGTAACCACCTAGTGCATGCAAGCAAGCTTTGTTAGTAGGGATGAACGAGTGCAACTAAGCATGGGAGTGGCTCTTTTTTTACACAAGCCACAAATATGTAGCCACCTAGCTAGAAGAGAGGAACCAGCGGCAGTGACCGTCGCTGCATCCGTGGCGGCTGGCATGCAAGAAAGCTGCTCAGTCAGTGCATCGTGGCGGACGCATCGGCGCATGCAGGCTCGATCGGCGCATGCAGGCTCGATCGGCGCATGGAGGCTCAGTCAGCGCATCGTGGGATCGTGCGTCAGCGCATGCAGGCTCGATCGACGCATGCAAGCAAGGTTTGCTGGGTGCATGCATAACATGCTTCTGTCCTGGCGGCGCGCGCAGACGTTTAATGCAAGGGACGACCCAACGAAACCACGGCCCAACGGTCGAACACCGACACCACCAAACGCGGGCCCACTTGTCAGGTCGAACGGACGACACAGTCCAGCGTGGCCCCAGTAGTCAGAGTTAACGGTCAAGCCTTTGACCCGATGGCAACGTCCGTTGTGCCCAGTTATGAGGGTTTCTGGCAAAGGAGTGGGGAAATTGAGTAAAAGTTAAGAGCGCGGGGATGAATGAGTAGAGCTAAGGAACCAGGGGCACAAATGTAAAATCTCTTATTTATATATCAATAAAAGCATTCAAATCAAACATACCTAACACAAAATTATGTTCGCAAATCTTATATTTGTAATATCATCACATTTGATTTTATTTTTTCTTCAGTCAAAATAGACAACCTGTTCTTATCATTGAAGTTTATAAAATTTTAGCCCGCACATCGAGCGGGCCACTATGCTAGTTATACTAGTAGGACCACCAGTTAGAGAACTAGGTACATACGGAAAATTTGGTTGTTCGTCGTTGCAAAGGCCAAGCTACATCATCCAAGGATTTTAGTTTTTCTTTTTCTATTTTTCATTCTGAAATGTTCTTTTTATTATAATAAAGAGTAGGTGAATCAACTTACTAATTAAAAAAATTAGTAGAACTTCCTCTTTGGAATAGAAATTGGCTATTTCTACATAGGGAAATTCGTGTGCAATGAAAAATGCAAGCACGATTTGGGGAGGGATTTTTTTCTATTGTAACAAGGAATAATTATCTACTTCATCCGACTAGTTTTGGGTTCGAGTCCCGGGCAACCCTTATAGAAAAGACCCATCAAAGTGTTTAACTTTGACTCACTTCATTTACAAATAGAAATTATTGGTTTGGTTAATTTAGTTATATGGATAGCTAATCTTTGGGCTGACTTGGTTGACATTGGTATATAGTCTATGTTATACTGTTTAATAACAAGTCTTCTATTATCTATATTCTAGTTAATACGTGTGCTTGGGAGTCCTTGCAATTTGAATAAACCAAGATCTTACCATGACTGCAATTTTAGGGAGATGCGAAAGTACAAGCCTGTGGGGTCGCTTCTGCAACTGGATAACTAGCACTGAAATCGCCTTTACATCGGATGGTTCGGTGTTTTGATGATCCCTACCTTATTGACAGCTTCAATTCATAGTGGTAATTGCCTGCCACAAATACTTCACATTTCATCCAGGTTGTACATCCGACAGTGCAAGCATTTCTGAGTAATTCGGTTGCCGCTACTTGGTGCTCTGTTTTCTGAGTATCGCTACTCTGTTTTCTCCTCTGTTTTCTGAGTATTAGTACTCTGTTTTCTGCTCTGTTTTCCGACTATCACTACTCTGTTTTCTGCTCTGTTTCCATATCTGCATCGCTCAGCGCCCTCTCTTTTTCTAGATATGTACTTTCGTCGAGGAACTGAGCTATCTTTGCAAAGGCATACATCGATAAGTAAGAATCTACTATGTGTTTGTACCCCGACCTGTGATGATGTGATAGGTGTTTGCACATCTCGATCAAATTGAACCATCAATGGGAACAAAACAAAACCCACATTATTTCAAGTGCAGCAAGAAACCCAAAGTAGTACAGATGAGGAACACACCACTGACCAATCCTCCTCCTCAATGCTTAATGCTGAACCAATGTGAAAAACAAATCATGCCACACAAGAAACGAATTTCTAGGTCGCCAACCAGCTAGCTCTTCAGTCCAGCTCACTATGTAGTCACTACACGGCCGACACGGCATAGACCGCCGCAGCAGCGACCGCGAACACCAGGGCCACCGTGCCCTGGAGCGACGAGCCGCCGTTCTCCTGCAGGTACGCCGACGGCGTTGCCTTCGACCCCGAGCCGGCAGGTGTCTGCACCTCTGGCGAGGCGGCGCCAGGAGCACCGCCACCACCGTTGTTGCACTTGCTCGCCGGCGGGGTCTGCACGTTGCATGCCTTGGGCAGCTCGAGCGCGCGCGTCTTGTTGATGGTCATGCCGCCGAGCGATGACGAGTCGCCGCCGAGCGCGCTGCAGAGGCACTGGGGCTGGGACTGCACCACGGAGCCGAGCTGCGAGCAGCAGGACTTGGTGGGCGCCGTGTCGTTGCCGCTGATGTAGTTCATGCACGGGTACAGGCCGACCAGCGCCGCCCTGCACCCGGACTGCGCCGTCGCTGTCGCCACCAGAAAGGCCGATGCCAACGCCACGGCCAAGAGGAGGCCGTTGCCAGACATGGCTCTCGCCGACATTGATGGATTTTTCTTCCCTCGGTTTACTAGTGAAAGCAAGAGGCTTTTCCTTTGCTTCTTGCTTACGCTGATCAGGCTTGTGTGTTCGTACTCTTGGCGCTCAAATTTGTATGATTTTATAGGAGTTGTTCTGTTGGGGAAGGTGGAATTAGTTGGGTGTGTTGGTGAGCTACATGTCCCAACTTTCCTACTCATGCCACGAAATTATTTGTTTCTCTGAATTGCTGCAGCTGTCGTATACTGATACTTCAGAAAAATATTGCATATGCGGCTGCTACAGTACTTTATAGTTTGTGTTCATAGTTGAACCAGGTGTCGTCGTCGTTGCCGTGTTGGATGAAGCTAACAAGGGTATCAAGTGTCATCATCCAACAACGGTATTAAGTGTCATTATCATCACCGTCTGGTGGCTCTGAAAGCATCGGGAACAGTTGCATCTTCGATGGCTAGCGGCCTTCGGCCTCCCACCTCACCAGTGGCGGAGCTACCACAGGATCATTGAGGGGGCCAATGGCAAAATATGGGTTTATAAAGAGGCAAAACTCCCTATTTTTCCCAATCTATGCCATCACAAAAAAAAAAATCTTCACAGAAGATCCCAGACTTGCTCCCCCCCCCCCCAGCCATACACATAGCTCCGATAGTGCACCTCACAGAGATAATTAGAGATGAAGCACATCTTTGGGCTAGGGCCGGCGCCACCCGGGATCCAACATATCATACCCGAGGGCTAGCTTTTGTTCATGTGGGGCCGAGCAACCCCCATGCTGTAACTCTCTCATTTGGAAGAATAAAAAAATACGCAACCTTAGCATATTCGCGAAAAAATGTATTAAGGTCTTGTTTGTTTCAACTTTGATCTGATTCAAATCACCTAGGGATTCACTTCGGTAGCAAAGCAGATTCACAATTATATAAGATCATATTTGTTTCAGTTTTGATTGGATTCAAATCACTTGTAGATTGGCTTCAGTGGTAAAGCTGATTCACAGTATCAGCATTGCCACAGAAGTACACTTTGAGGTGCTTCAGCAAATTGCACTAAATATGGCCTGAATCCAGATTCAGCTTCACTGGCAAAGCTGATTCGAAATATCTGTTTGTTTCAGATTCCAGATCTACCTTCACTAACAAAGCTGGCTTCACTGGCAAAGCTAATTCACAATAGATGTTTGTTTCGGATTCCAGATTCAGCTTCACTGGGAAAGCTGAATCTGGTTCTTGAAGCTCAAACAAACATGGCCCAAGTGTCATGTGTGGGTTTTTATGTTTTTCTTAACTTGGGAGGAGGTGGG